TGTAATTAAAATTAATTTGTACCGGATGTAATATTATTTATTTCATAAATGAAATTATAGAATGTTAATTGCCTTCTAACAAGGTTTAATGTATTTAAAATTATATAATTATTCTAATAAATTCATATCTGTAAAAATCGTGGTGCGAAAATAACTTTTTATTAAAGTTCGGAATATATATATGCACTGCATATGCAAGTTTCGAGTACACACCCCACACCCCATAAAAATTTTGGGTATATAAATTATTTTCCCAACACAAAAAAACTATAGTTATGGGCAAAAAGTTAAATATAGATTGTGGGTGAACATATGATTTTTTAAATTTTAATGAGTGTAATAATTACTCCCACTTTCCAAATTGATGGTCATATATCATTTGGGCTCAAATATTAAGAAAGCTTGGTAGAATAGCCCATATATCTTTACTTTATTGTACTGTTAACTCTTTTACTTTTACTATTCACAAAAAGGAAGAGGTATAAATGGTAGTACACTTTAATTTCTTTGTGAAAAAGGAAAACATGACTATCATTTTGGGACAATCTAGATATGACATCAAGCTTAAATGTGTACTTTTCAATTTCACTTAATTTTTTTTACGTTTTAGGACATCAGTGTTACTTTTAGAATTTGGAGTGAATGTAATGATTTTTATGCAATGAACATAAATAAAAGTCAAAAGCAGCCAATCTAATTAAAAAAAACTATTTTCAATGATGAAGAACTATATATTGTTATCTTTACGATTACAAATCATGGGTATCTTAAAATTCTTATTCAACTAACGATGAGACCATGAGTTTTGTGTATAAAGAAGTTTTCATAACCTAACATTTAATGTATTTTATGCGACTCACAATTAGTGTTATCTTTATAACAACTTAATAATAAAGTACTTACTATAGTCATTGTTAACTTGCTAATATACTACATATACTGTTATAGCAATTATATTGTACACATCATTCTTTGTTTACTCACACCGTATAGCATCGTACGGGTGCTGTACTAGAATGGTACGAGCGCATGTCAGAAAGTTATAATATCACGACTATCAATTTCTATTATGGTTTCTTATGACAAAGGAGACAATTTCTATTATGATTTCTTATGCAATGACCATCAATTAAAGTCAAGGTCAGTCGCTCGCTCACGCTGCCTCCTATTGAAAAAACCAGTTTTCGGTCATGGACAATTATATGTTGTTGTGTCCAAAGTAATCATTCGTGCAGGTCTCAAAATCACATTACATATTACAACAAACTTACATATTACACTTCATGTTCTTAGTGTAGCATATGATATTAACTTTATAACCAATTGAGTTTTATGTCTGACGGGGGTTATACCCCATCCACAAACTCACGCACCGTGCATCGCACGGGTACAATACTAGTAATACTAGTTAAAGAATATTTGTTAAGTTCTTACCTCAAAAACTATTCTTTTCTCCTTGGATTTCCTCTCTTGTTGCTTCCCCCAACTATGGCTTTGAGAGCTTTAGTTTTCCCTGAGCTCTCCTCTCTTGGTTGTCCGTATGAAACAAATGATAGGATGGGAGAGGAGTATCTCTATCTCTACCCAATCAATCCCAAGAAAAGTCCAAGTATAGAACATGGGGTGTGTGGATTTTGTCTCTATGAGGCTTCCCTCCTCTTGCATGCCCCCCCTCAGCTAATATGTTCAACTTGGTCAATTTATGTCCACAAGTCATGTAGGAAAAACCCCAAGTGGGTGTAGAAAGTCCCTCCCAATTATTCCAGCTATTTTTGGCAGGTTCGGTCAAAATAGCATTTGGGTTGTCCAAACATTTTTATCAACTTTAGTTGACATTTTATTGGGCTTCTATAATTAACATGATGACCCAACTAAATATTTGGTAGCTCATTCTCATTTTAATTAATCGCACATTAATTAAATATGCCAATTAATTACACGAATTTTATTCGCTAGGAATTTCAAATACATATCAAATTTCAAATCCAAGTACATCCGGGTGCGGTGTCACACTTGTGTATGTATGAGTCCATATAAATAAGTTTGTTTTTTAAATGTATTATAACTTTTTTATGTTTAATCCAAATTTTATTAAAAATATATTCAAATTCATGAATTTTGTGATCTTTCAAATGACAAAAATATGTAATATATAAACAGAAAAAAATTGAAGTTTTAACTGTTGAAGTTATCTTGAGCCTAAAAACACAAAACACAAATTTTAAATTTATGAAGCCTTCACAAATAATCAAATATTCCATAATCGAACTTTACTTGAACTAAGTTCATTTTTGTTAATCGAAAAACGTTAAAAAAATAATGAAATTTATTTATTTTTACATCGAAACATGTATTTTTATTTCCCTGGAATGCAGGGGAATATGAGTCAAAACACTGTTTACATATGAACGAAGTCCATTTTTGACATTTTAGCCTCCGCACCACTCCATATAGCCTAATCAAGTCATATTTGGCAAAATTAATTTTTATTTTTACACATTTTTTATACATACCTCATACACATTTGTGAGAAGGCGATTTTTTTCTTTGAGCAGGATTTACAGAAATAGACCTTTCACAGAGGTGTGTATCAGTATAGGAACATGTGTACAAATAGAAAAATTGTAAATTCTTAATATTGACGTCTTTCCGCCCATTGTGTTATCTCGTGTTTTCTTTTTATGTTTATCTCACTAATTTATGATTCGTCATAGTAATTGCATATATTTCTATGGTATATTTAATTTATATTTTAAAAATCAACACTATCATTGTTTCGAATTTATATTTTAAGAAATCAACATTATCCAGCCAAAATATCAAGCAATCAATGTTTCTAAAATTCTCTGAGTGATCTCATAATTAATGTTTCTTCTCGCCTCAAACGGTTGTGTGAGAGTTAGCCTCACCTTAGGAACCCTATAATATTTGATAAATCAATGGAGATCATTCTCCCAATAACTGTATGGAGAACATGAGGACGCGCACAATCAATCAGAGAGCGATTTCATGTGTGCGGTGGTGTACAGATGGATGTGGGAATTTAGCTGATTGTTCGAAGGATTCAGACTAAAGAGATTGAGTGGGTTCATGGGAGCCCACTGCACGATTATAATCCGATGAAGTAAAGGTCACCAATAGTCGAGTAAGGCTTTGTTTGCAAACATTACTCACAAGTGTTTTTAAACTTTTTAAAGTGATTTGGGAAAAAGTGTTTAATAATTAAACTTGATAGTGTTTGAGAAAAAACTGATTTTGAAAAGTAAAAGTTGGTGGTGTTTGGTAAAATAAGTGATTTTTGTGTAATAGAAAAAATAAAAAGCAGATTCTAGTTTTTAAGTATTAATTTAAGTATTATTATGCCACAGATTTTTTCAAAATAATCTCACATCTTCTTAATTACATCATTCATCATCTCAAAATAATCATATCTTTTATGGGTCTTGTACTCACTATTTAATATTAACTTCACAATAAGCTTGAGATAATCTGGATTCATATCTTAATCCCGAATTATTTTGTCAAATAATCTCCCTCACTCAACCATGATCCGAAAAATAATCCGCCACATCAAAAACTTAATCCTCTAATAATCTAATGGATGGAGATGCCCTAATATTATCCCAAAAGTTAAGTGTTACATACAAACGAATGGAGGATACATGTTCCAATTTTTATTTATTTTAAACAATACCTTAGATTTGCTATATTCTTAACCGAATATTTCTAAGTTCTTGAAAAAACCGGATTGGAAAACGATTCAGTCAAATGGCCGGGTCACGAGTCAACTCAGACCTGACTGCTCAACCCGGTCAATGCTAGAAAAAGTGATAACCCTTTATAAGTTCGCCAATGAGTTTTCTCTTACTATTTCGTATGACTATATATGTGCTTGTTCTTGATTGAAATGCGTGATGAATCAAGTATAAAATAATAAAAATGTAATTATATACTACGTATAAAACTAAATGTAAAGATAAATATTCTTCACAATAATTGCATAACTATAATTCTCCCTACGTCAGTGTGAATTGTTCTTAATCTTTTACTTTATATATCTAACTTTTATCAAACCATATAAAAGTTGTATTTTATAAAATTGAATTTTTCTTGATCAGATATTATAAAACTTTTCCATCATTTGCAATGAAGCCAAAGATTCATTATTTTTTGATTTGAGAATATGATGAAATAAAGCAAAATGGCTCACTAAACTGTCTGCGCTTCTTTGTTATAGCAGCAGTCAGTCCATGCAATTTTGGATGCGATTTTCACTACGGGTCATCCGGAAACAGTATCTCTGGGTTTTAGTACAAGGGTAAGACTGCGTACATCCGACCCCCCTTACCCTACCGTAGGTGGGAGTCTTTGCGGCATTGGGGTAAATGAAAATGACAGTGATCAATTAACTTTTTGGTCAGTCAAACATCGTAAACCACGTAAGAACCTTTAAGTGGAACGGATGGAGTAATACTTAGTAAACCTTCTTATTACATATTCAATGATACTATTTGATATTTGTTGTAGTACTAGTATTAATTTAACAACACCAAATTTGTTTGACGTTCTCCTTTGATTTGTTTAAGCGTTCTCCTTTAATTGAACCTTTAACATTTCAGTTCAATAAGTTAATGAAAACACTATACTTTTTTTTAATTGACTTCCTAATTGAATTTTAAACTGAAAAATTTGTTAGCATGAAAAACATGCTCCAAAAATTATGTCAAACAATTTCAAACAAATGTAATAATGTATCAAGTTCTATATATATACTTATAAAATTTATTGTGTTTAATTAGGTTAGAGACAAGTGAAAACATTAAGTATGTCTTTTTAGGCTGTTTTCAGCCCGACATCAAACCAAACCAAATTTAAGCAAACTTGACCAAATTAAACTTAAATAAATCAGATCAAACTTGAACAATTATAAAATACAGTAATACACGACCTTTTAAATAGTCCAAAAACAAAATTCATTCCTAAATTACACCACCGCTTCTGCAATGCATTTACGTGTCCATTTATTTGTACACGCAAATGACCATCTACTATAGGGTTCGATTTGATGAGCTATAGATATAGAGATGACGTCTGCTGAGCGATTCATAATTGCTTCGTGTTGTTCGCGATTGCTGTTTCGAAGTTAATGCATGTATTTGCAGTTTGCAGAAAATGCCTCTGATCAGCTTCTGTTTCTCTGCTACTTCACTGGTAGGCTTTGCAGATCTCTAGTATCTATGCTCATAAATGTGTGATGGATCAATGGATTTATGTCTGAGAATTATGCTTACCGTTTACCATACTTTGCTAGGGAACTTTATTACAGTATCTTCTGTTGTTTTTCGGCTTACTCGCGATATAAATGTGATTTAGTGAGATCCGTTAGTGTTGTAGTTGCAGTAATTGAAGAGTGAAGAAAGAAGGTCGTTCCGCAAGGAAAGGAATTCAAAGTAGGAAGTGGAAATGGAGAAGAGTGTTCTGGACTCGCGGCTATGGCATGCTTGCGCTGGAGGTATGGTGCAAATGCCTCCGGTGAACTCGAAGGTCTTCTACTTCCCGCAAGGCCACGCTGAACACGCGTTCGCTGATGTCGATTTCTCTGCGTTGCCTAAAATGCCTCCCCTGATTCTATGCAGAGTCAATGCGGTGAAGTATTTGGCGGACCTTGAATCAGATGAGGTTTACGCGAAGATCCAGCTGGTTCCTGTAGCGAACAACAACGATCCTGACTTTGAAGATGCGGTGAAAGGGACCGATTCATCTGAAAAGCCGACTTCATTCGCTAAGACATTGACTCAATCCGATGCCAACAATGGCGGTGGATTTTCTGTTCCCAGGTACTGTGCGGAGACGATATTTCCCCGTTTGGATTATGCCGCAGATCCTCCCGTCCAGACAGTGATCGCCAGGGATGTTCACGGTGAGACCTGGAAGTTCAGGCACATCTATAGGGGGACACCAAGGAGGCATTTGTTAACAACAGGCTGGAGTACGTTCGTGAACCACAAAAAGCTAGTTGCAGGCGATTCAATCGTGTTCCTGAGAGCAGACAATGGTGATCTTTGTGTTGGAATTCGCAGGGCCAAAAGGGGTGGCGGAAACCTTTCATCCGACACGTCATCCTATTGGAATATGGGTTCGGGAGGCTTTGTTGGATTTTCGTCCCTTTTTAGGAAAGATGAGGATAGAATGAAGATTGGTGGTAGTACCAATGGAAACCCAAATTCTCCTACTGGGGGTTGTAAGCAAAGGGGAAGAGCGAGTCCCCAATCTGTTAGTGAAGCTGCATATCTTGCTGCTACTGGGCAACCATTTGAAGTTGTGTATTATCCATGTGCAAACACACCAGAATTTTGTGTTAGGGCATCATCTGTCAATTCCTCCATGGCTGTACGGTGGTCCATAGGGTTGAGGTTCAAGATGGCTTTTGAAACTGAAGATACTTCTAGGATAAGTTGGTTCATGGGAACAATATCTTCTGTTCAAGTTTATGACCCCATCCTCTGGCCCAATTCCCCATGGAGGATTCTTCAGGTAATCTAGCTCTAATTGATAGAACAATTCATACTAACAATTCACAGAATTGATCAAGAACACATTATCAAGCTTAGGATATACTTTGCTAAAGTATTTATCTCCTCTCTTCGGAATAGTAGAGTCTCTATCACTAATCCAGTGAATATATGCTTATGTCTATCTCTACTGCAACTTAGGATCTGTTTTGTAAGGGTTGGTTTAATGGCTCAATATTCTTTTAGGAAAAGCGTGATGTGAAATCTGGATTTCAACAGAAAAGTTAAATGCTACTTTTAGGGGTGAGCATTCGGTCGGTCATTCAAATAACCGACGGATAACTGAATAACCGACCAACTTTTTTTGCTCCAATAACTGACCCAAACCGACCGATAAAATCACTATAACCGACCGAAAAATGACAATTGGTTTGAGTAGACGGTGCGCATAAATTGCTTGGGAAAGTTGATGTCTTGGATGCATTTTGGTCTTGCTGAATTAAATTAAGCTCCCTTTGGAAGTTGGAGCCTCAAATATACTAGGGAAGATATTCAGATATTAAGGAGGATAGTATAAAGTTTTTTTTTAAGGAAAATAGAATTTTCTCCTCATCCCACTCCATTCAAAAAATGGTGGGGAATAAAAAAGAGAAAATTGTTTAAAACTTTCTATAACACACGCAAACTTTATAAAAATTGGGTCACACTCAATAAACTTTAAATATTTGTTCAAACTCATTTTATTTATATATTTCTATTATACAAAGACTAATAAATTTAGCATATGTAATACTACGTTATAAAACTCAATCAAATTTAGTATTCCTTGTGTATTTTCCATGGTTAATCCAACGCTAAATAATTATTTTGCTTAACACTCCCCTCCCCCCCCTTTCCCACCATTTGCCAGGTTCCAAACGTACCCTTGATGTCTCTTTGATATATCATACTTGTATGGGAGGAAATCTTTTTTATTGTTTGTTATGTATTTTGATTAGCTTTCTGTTTTTATGCACAACAGGTAACATGGGATGAACCTGATTTGCTTCAAAATGTGAAGCAAGTTAGTCCGTGGCTAGTTGAATTGATCTCAAACTTGCCCATGATTCATCTATCACCTTTCTCACAACCAAGAAAAAAATCTTGTTTACAACCTCTCACAATCGATGGCCAATTCCCAATCCCTTCATTCTCAAGCAACCCCCTTGGGGTCCGCAGCTATTCCCGTTGTCCATCTGACAACATTCCTGCAGGCATGCAGGGAGCCAGGCATGCTCAATTTGGAGGACCATTGTTTGGAGGACTCTTACCACCAACTGTCCAGCAAATTGACTATAACGATACTGTTAATACCCGAACGGATGGCAAAAATGAAAACATCTCTTGCTCGTTAACCATGGGGAATAATTATACTGAAGACGTTCCCACACCCCGATTCATGCTCTTTGGTCAGCCAATACTGACTGAGCAGCAGGTGTCTACAAGGAAGAAGAATTCGGGAAGTGACATGCAATTTGACCGAAAGAGCCAGGATACTACTGGTCGCTGCGATGTTTTTATAGGGTCCGTATATGTTGGGCGTAATCTTGATCTCTCAATTTTCAGATCCTATGAAGAACTACACGAAAAACTTGCAAATATGTGTGGGATAGAGAGATCGAAGATGTTAAGCTGTGTGACCTACCGCGATGCAACAGGCATTCTCAGACAGATGGGGAATGAACCATTTCGGTACTTTTTCACTAATTTTCTAACTCTAACTTTTATTTTTATTATTGACAACAATGTATTGTTGTTCATCAAAAGGTATACTAGGAATGAATGACAGCAATATAGCATCTAAACGTTTTGTTGTCTCCTACATCATGTAAAATGCAGCGAGTTCACAAAGAATGCAAAAAGGTTGGAGATTTTGATGAATCCTGGGAGCACGGTTGGCAGGTAAATTCCAATATACTACGTAAATAATAGTCCACTACTGATATTATTTTAATTGGAATTTATTGGTGCAATATGAGAAATCTAAATTCTATTCCAAACTATCAACTACACTGATGTGATTCCATCAAAAATATATCTTTCCCAACAGAAGTGCGGATGTTAATAGTGAATGTCACATTCTTGTGTAGTTGTGTACAAACCTTAAGGCTGCATTTGGAACACGGGAAATGGCAAGGGAAGAAAAATAAACAGGAAAACATTTTTTTCTGAGACTAAAATGTCGCTCATCTCTTACACAGGACTATCCTTGACTTGTAACATGTTTACCCCCCCCCCCCCCCCCCCCCACTTCACTCACTGGTATTCATCTTCCAATTCTAAGTGGATCCCAAGTTATTAATGCTTGCAACCCTTGATAACTCAGGACATGGCTTACTGGTCTTCCAACGGCTGACTGTGGACTAAATTCATCAAGCCGAGAGGGCGCTCTTGGCATATTTGTGTAGCTATACACAAGTATGTACCGACGGCCTTAATTTTTGTGGTGTAAACAATTCAGGAACTAGTGTAGTACTGTAGGGGTGTGTTTGCAAGGTTCTTCCCGGAGATGGATAAAGTGTATGTACACTTTATTAACTTGTGACCTCAGGTTCCAACCTAATTTGTGTAGTATATGTAGTCTCTTGGAGATTTATTTGGAAGGCTAGGAACTACAAGGATAGCTATTACGGTTTGAGTTTTCATCTTACACATTAATTAATTTATTAGATTGATTGGCAGTTTTGTGACCTTTTTTTTCATCTTAGAATCTGTTTTCAGCTACATTACCTAGATGCACATGCCATATGCTACTTTCTTTCATTTCCACATTAATCTATCGCTAACAAATTATAGCAATTTCAGTAATTATACTCATATCACTAATAAGTAAGGGAGAGTCATTAGAGGAGGATAAACATCAAAGATAAGGAGGAAGAGGTAGTGGGGACGACACTGAGATAGAACTCTAAGATACCTCACAGACTAAAATAGAAAAAAAAAAATAGAATACAATACATTCCAGAACATACCGAATACAATAAAGAGATTAATTTCATGAATGTCAATTAGGCCTTGGCATCTTAGGCCTTAGAAAGTTAATCAAGTTATAACTTCGAGACCACATGTGGTGTACTGGTGTATTTTAGAGTCAACAATTGTCTTTATAAATTATCTCGCTAAATGAAATCTCATATTGTATTCTCATTTTCATTTACATGCATGTTACACGGTTACACACTTACCCCAAGACTTGAAGTATTTATAAAAGTAAATGAAAAAAGCGAAAAAAGTATGCAAGTATAAATTAAATTTCTACATCTAGTCAAAGCGTTGTCACGGTTTCTGATTTTTTGTAGATTTCAAATTATTTTAAGCGGTCCAATATTATTTGAGTTTTTGCCACTTTTGGTCTGTGACACTTTTGGTACTCGACTTCTAATTTTTCCTTTTTTAGTCCTCGACTATTGTGCTAGAGACACTTTTAGTCCCCGACTTCAAGGTTTCCCGCATTTAGTCCCCTGAGTATTATCAAATTGACATTTTTAGTCCTCTCTCATTATGATTTTGACACAATAAGTGGAGAACTAAAAATGTCACTATTATAATATTTGAAGGACCAAAAGTGTCACTTTTATGAAAGTTGAAGGACCAAATGTGGAAATTTTCAAAGACGGATATCAAAAGTGTCTCTAACGCAATAGTCGAGGACTAGAAATGAAAAAAATCAAAGTCGAGTATCAAAAGTGTCAATGACATAATAGTCGGAGGACTAAAAGTGACAAAAATTCCATAATATTTAATATACTTTCTAAAGATGCAAGTATAAACTAAAAAAGTAATTATGTGTTGTAAGATGAGAATTAACTTTCTGCTCATAAAATGGTACCCTAGTAATTACCCTATAAATACGAAACTAAATTATTCAACATTTGCAACAACATCACCGAAACAGAATACATGAACAAATAAGAAACAACAATATAACTCATACCCAAGTTGCAAATAATCGCTACTATGGTTTGCTTTTAAAGATATATACGATAGTATTATTAACACTTCCAAAATATAAATGAGGCCCATGTAAGGGAGGCCCAAGGCTAACTCCCCATGTATGTGGCCCATATGACAATTTAATCATCTCATTTAAGTTCGAATTTGGCCGTTTTGGAACCAAAACATACAGTAAAGTAATGGTAGTCAATGTCTAACTCATATGTGTTCTTGTAAAAAAAGTCTTACGTGTTTTTAACTATTGTGTCTTTTCATTCATTCCTTCCACACAAAGTTAGCTTTCTACTAGTACTTACCAAGGTTGTTAAAATCTCGATTTAAATCGTAAAATCGTACGATTTTACGATTCTATAATAATAAATCGATTCAAATCGCAGGTAAAATCGTAAAATCATAAAATCGTACAAAATCGTAACAAAATCGTACAAAAATCGTGTAGAATCGTATAAAATCGTATCAAAATCGTAGCAAAATCGGAATAAGTTTTTTTTTAGTGAAAATGGTTCAAATTTATTAAAATTAACTACTACAAATTGATACAAAATTTCAATAATAATAACATCAATAGTATATCTTAAAAAAGTAATGGATTCTTGTGTTATTTAATTATTTTTATGTTTTACATATGTTTAATGTTATTATTCACTCTATTTACAATATAAAAGTAGTTTATAAATCTTGTTTTTGACCTTGTAGGTATAGTGGTATGTAATAAAATGACATAATACCATTAATTTGCAACTTAATTTTAATATTTAGGAAAAATGGAAACTAATAATCCAACCTTTTAGCGGTCTTCTTACAATAGTCCCACCTTTTGATTATTCATGAATAATCCAACCTTTGCATCTCATCTTCATTCACTGGTCCCTGACCGGTTGATGACCTGCTATTCCAAGTTATTTTCTTATCTTTGCAAAATATTATCTTTATGAAATGTGAGATTTATGGTATAATGGTTTGCAAAGAAGAAAATAACTTGGAATGGTAGGTCATCAACCAGTCAGGGACCAGTGAATGAAGATGAGGTGCAAAGGTTGGATTATTCATGAATAATCAAAAGGTGAGACTATTGTAAGAAGACCGCTAAAAGGTTGGATTATTAGTTTCCATTTTCCCTAATATTTATTTATTTTATAATTATTAAAATATGTTTGATAAAATCTTACGATTTGCGATTCGATTTTACGATTCGATTTTCAAAAACATCTACCGATTCGATTCAAAAATACGATTTTAACAACCTTGGTACTTACCTGGTCGAAGCACAAGCGGTGCTATCATGCGGAATCAGCGAGGTGAAGTACTTATAATCAAAATCTTAGTCGAGCATCTCATATAATCAAAATTTGTGTATCAAGAATAACATCACACGGTTAAGTACGTACATTATATAACAAATCTTAGTCGAGCATCTCATATAATCAAAATTTGTACTCTTAAACTCCGGTAGTTAGATAGTCCGGATTAAAACGAAGACTCCCAGCACCACAAAATTACTTTAAGGCTTTCCCAATATGATGATCAATCATCAATTGTACAATTATGATATCACTTGAGAATGCGACTCCCAAAATGATCAAATTATTAATACTCGTATAATTATGATTGTAGTAGTTAGGAAAGACATCTTTCAAATACTTGTATAGGTAACCATGGGTGAAGAACACAATTATGCAGCGAGGTAGTATAAGTTCACAATGAACAAAAAAAGAAAGGTTCAACTACAATTTGTTTCATACATCATTGCCCAATTCCTAATTGAACAAGAAAACTACAATAGAAGCGATCAACTGTGACATTTAGATGAATTGAGCAGTCCTTCAAATTCCTTTAGCAATTCTAAATTTTCTTCAAATTCCTTTAGCAATTCTAAATTTTCATCGCGCAATTGTTGAGTTATGTTTATAATATGCTGCACTTTCTTTTCTAGTATTATGTTTTCCGCTTGCATTTTCTTAATCTTTTCTTGCTTTCTCTTTTCCAGGTCCATTACGACTATTGCCGATTGGTTCTCTAATGCGTCCAGCTCTTTACTTTTGAGTATCACCTCATTTCCATCTTCCCACTTGAAAAACCCACAATTATCATTCTGATGCACACAAAACTTAAAATTGACTCATTCCTATTTTTATAAGCATACCCCACTAGTACAATTTTAGACCTAGCGTAACATTAAAGATGTAACATATCTATAAAAGTATTACATATTTCTCTAATGTAACACTTTTTAGACCTAATGTAACACTTTCTAGAAGTATAAATGTTACATTAGGGACTATAAAGTGTTACAATAGGTCTAATGCAACATGAGCAAATGTAAGGGCAAGAAAGTGTTACATTTTCTCTAATGTAACACTTTTAAGTGATATTGTAACACTTTTGGGTGATACATTAGGAGTTGAAATGTTGTAGTGCCCCCACACACTTCTCAAAAGCACTGAATAACAAATTCAAACTCAATTTTAACCTTATTATTAGTGTTTTTGTAATAAAAAAAAGTATCATTACTAATTAACATACTTACAGGCCATAAAGAGCAAACATGATACTTCTTTCCAACATTGATCCCGTTTTGAACAACTCGCAAAATTGATTTCATGTTGTGATGACAATTAATTCTTGGACTTCTCTCTCTGCTTGATTCTATTGAAGAAGAGCCACAACCATCTAAATATTTTTTGTCCATAGGCAGTGATGAAATTAAGAGAATGACAAAGATACAGAGAAAGTCATAAAGGCATTGAAGAAGGAGAAAAATTATGTGAGGATGCGAATTGAATAGAAGTCGGAAATGAGAAAGGAAATGAGGAAGTGAGAAGGCAAATACAGTGATGATCACGCTAAAAATGTAACGGTTATTATCAAATTGATAACCTTTGACAGCTAATATATATCATTTGTGGGACCAGAGAAAGTAAATAGGATATAAGGGGTCTTTAAAATATTAATATGACGAACCACTGTCACATGATCATAAAAGGAGGGATAAATAGTTTCAATTTTTTCTACTGATTATATTTTATTGGAAAAACGTATTACGGGTACATTTTATTGATGATTGAATGAAAGAGAGTACAAAGAAAATATGAAAATAGAGGAAAACAATGAACAAAAAAATGATAAATATAAGAAATCTATCCCGAGCCTAAGTGCCGAGAATGCACACTCCTCCCTAGAAAAACTTGAGTTCCAGGTTTTTGAACTCTGCATAAGATTGGGATCTCGCTTTCAACATACACGATCATTGGTGTTTTTTCTTGCACATTTTATTTGAGTATTGAGGTTCGATATAGGCAAGGAATTTTGCCTTCTGATCAAGTGAACCTTATTGCAAATTCCCTCATTTTTACCAGAATCTCATATGTCCTCAATCATTGAAATGAGATTTGTCTTCTCTCTCTCTGAAGCATGTTTAAGGTATTCATCTCCCGAGTATGATAATATCTTTTTTAGCAAAAAGATTCACCACAATCAATGCATAGCACTCACTGATTACCTGTAACAGCATATCTCGAAAAGTTTGCCTCATGACTGAGTTTCTCCCACAATCCCATATGGCCTTATCCATGAGAAGCACCTCTGATTAGACAATGTGCTCATGATTAGGTTTCTCACACAATCCATTATCCATGAGAATCACCTCTGATTAGACAATGTGCTGGCAAATGCCTAAAGCATGTTGTCCATCGAAAGTGGTGGCAGATGTTGGGGGTTGTTTGGTCATTGGCCAACATCTTCCTAAATCGACCTGTGGTTAAAATATT